TAGCCTGAGCAAACTATAGGTACTGAACTGAATCTTTGTACGAGTAATACTATAAATACACACACACACACACACACACACCCCTACCTTCTTTTGCACAAAAATCCATATATATATATATATATATATATATATATATATATATATAGAAAGAGAGAGAGAGAGACAGACAGACAGACAGACAGACAGACCGACCTTGTTTTGCTGATGAGAACACTGAGGTTGAGAGAGATTGAACAGCCTAAAAAAGTTATTAAGCTAGTTAATAAGTTATTGGCCAGATAGTAAATGGCTAAATCAAGAAGAGAATCCAAGTCTAGCAATTTCAGATTCCCATCCCTTTCTCCTAAATATATCACACTATCTATCAACAATTTCCTTTTTCGCTTTAAAGCGCCTTGTTGTATATTGACAACTGGTGGTCAACTTGTAACACTCAACTCAACTGAATCAGCGTGGTGCTAGGTATGGAGGACCCGCCTGAGGACAGATGCCAACAAAATAAAAAGGAGAAGTGGGAAAAAGAAGAGAAGCGGTTAGTTCTCCTGGAGGAACTTGTCATGTGGGCTTTCCTGGCATGAATGTGGCTGTTCTCTTCTTCAAAGGAACTTGGGACCTTACTGTCTCTGAGAAAGACTATGGTTCACTTAGGGGAGCTCTGGTCCTTACTTTGAGCTTTGCTTCTAGGCTCCAGTGCAGATCCCTCAGCCTGCTAGCACAGATCCTTCACCCTGCTGGCACAGATTTTCTAACTCACCACTGACTTTTGTGCCTTCTGAGCGCAAATTCATGAAATAGACATGCGTGAGACACTGTCCTGGGCTCTAGGCCTCCAGCGGGATGCTGGGAGGGCCTTGTCATGGGCTGTAGGTCTTCAGCAGGACTCATGCGGATATTACCACTGGATCCAGGCCCTCAGTTGGAGTCTTTTGGTCTTTAATGTGTGGATAGATTTCCTATATTCTTTTTATACATAACTCTTTGGGTGACTATTAAAAAATAATCCTATAAATTATGTGTTCTGTATTGTTTCCCTTGCAAAACCTGACTACACCACACCCACGCACAATTTACAGTAGAACAGAATACAGAAGTGTTTCCTCCCAGTTCACTCATATGTTCTTGCACACCACAGAGTCCTGCAGCTTCCCATTTTTTCTCTAATCTCTTATTAATTTAACTGTATTTCTGGTAATAAGAAATGAGGAGCTTAGTGTTATGTGGACTGAGAGCTTCTGTTCTTTCCTTATAAAGATTTCCTTTGAGCACAGGCTTTTACATGACTTTTGTGATGTATTTCTGCTTCTGACAAATTGCCTCACATTCTATAATAATATTTTTTAATTAGAAAATAAATATTGCTCTTCAGTACTCATAAAAAAGTATGTATTTATTTCAAAATTTTAACAGGCCTATCCTGGGGCCAAAGACAAATAGGGCAAGTAAAAAAAAAAAAAAAAAAAGATTGGAAGGAGCACAGAGGAAGTATTTAGAAAAGAAAGATCAAAGAATTGTTAGCATCATCTAGATACAGCAGTAATTATCCAGAATAGCAGCAAGTATACTGTCACAGAGACATCATTTAGCCATGTGTATAAAATAAGCTATGAAACCACGAGTGGGGATGGCAATAAGGGGATGGGACACTGCCGTCTGCTGTCATGAACTTCATAGGTGGGCTTTTTTATAGGTGGGAAAAGAGGAAAACAGTCTGGGAGCAGCAAAAAGACATAAGGAAAATATTCCAGCTCGAGACCTAGATGTAGGAGTGTGAGCAAGAAAATGCAGTAGTCAGTATTTACATGGCTTGCAGGGAAAGCAAAGTCCAGATTTCACTTAGAAAAAATAAAATACTTGAGAAACCAATACACTTTAACATATAAATTCATGTTACTTCATTTGTTTTAAGAAAAAGACTTCTACTAAGGATAAGAGAACCTAGCAAGTAGCAGAAAATAATCCATGTCTATTGGGTAGCAGTTATAAGTATCTTCTACCCCCTATGTAGCACCAATCATCCATTACTGAGGCTTAGTTATTTCATATGAAAAGTTAACTTATTTTCCAGCATTTAGAATTTTTTTCCAACATTTAGAATTTTAAAATTATAATTCACTTATGTCAACTCAAAAATGAGGCTGTGAGTTTAGTCCTAGGTTCAACTTCCAGCACAGAAAAGATTAAGCAAGTTCTTAAAGTCTACTAAAACACAGATAAGTGCCTATAAAAAAGGAATAAATTCCCAGGGTAGGATATAAAATACTTAAAATATCACTCCCTCACACACACAAAAATTGCCATGGTTGTTATCAGCAGCTATATGTAGTAATATACATCCTCTTCATTGACATTTGGCACAACTCTTAAATTGTCTATGTGTGATTCTGGCATTCTACCAAGTGTAACTACAATTTAACACTGGCTTCTTATGGATCATTTTGTTTAAAATGTAGTATATGGCTTTATTTTTTAAAATACAGATTTTTTTGTCTTATCTGATAATCTGCCAAAGTACATTGAATTGAATAGTGAGTAATCTGAGGACATTTGAATGTTAAATAGCAAGAGGCTTTCTAATAGGAAAAACATCAATTGTGAAATCATTCTTTGGACTTTACTTACACTCTTACATTTGTTCAGCTGGACTGAGTATCAGCTTTAGTGTGTAGAATTTAGGCACATTATTCCTTCTAAACATCAGAATTATGATAGTCAACATAGAAAAATAAGTTCTTCTCAAGGAAGTTGCTGTGAAGATTACATGAGCTGAATTAATCAATTAGTAAATGCCCTAGAATATAATACATGCTTAATAATTATCATTTTGTTATAAAATAATATCCATTCCTGTTATTATTTTTACTAACTATTGAGCAATTGCAGCTTACAGAGACTCTTACATACATTATCTTGCTGGACACTTAGGACATAACAGCTCTGTGTAAGAGAAAGACAGTTGACTTTCCTAAAGTTACTTAACATTACCCACCACAACTGGATGTCAACCACCACATCAAACAAGAGTAGCCAAATGTTTTCTTAGAGGACTAGACCAAATATTGTAGGATTGCAGGCCATACACTGTTACAACTGCTCATCTCGCTACTATAGCACAAAGCAGCCATAGAGAAAGAGAAAATAAATGAGTGTGGCTATATGCCAATAGAACTTTATTTAAGAAAACAAGCAGTGGAAGGGCCTTCCCTCAAGGCCATGACCAGGTGACTTCTGCCCTATACTTCCATTACTATTCCAAAGTACCTTTCTTCTACCTGGTGGTTACTACCTGTTTTCAGGATAATGTTTCAGCTTTAAACTTTTTAATAACTTTAACTGTCAAAGAAAAGAGAAAGCAGAAACAATGTGTAAAAGAAAAAAAACCAGAAAATTGTAAGGTATAACATAAATATTACTGTTACTGTTTTTCTCTCCTTCAACTTCTAATTTAATTTAATTTTTTATTTTTTGGTGGTACCAGGGATCAAATTCTGGACCTTGCACTTGCCACTCAAGCACTGATTCCACTGAGCTATCTCCCCAGCCCCTCCTTCAACTTCTAAAACTTTTATTTTTTTCTATATATTTCTTCTTTACCTAGGCAGTTGTCCTAGAAGTAAACACATTCCCATTTCTCCAAAAGTACAGAAGGGACACTTAATTAAATAGCAGAGTAAACAAATCTGTCAATCTCTTGTTTTTTAAAGCAGTAGGAATGTGAAACTTCTAAATATAACTTGGATGGCTTGGGGTGTTCATTTGATTGTTTGTTTTGTGTTTATTGGTACTAGCAATTGAGCTCTCAGCCTTTGTACAAGGGTAAGTTGCCAGTTCTTTTTATTTGGAGCCAGAATCTTGCTAAGTCACTTAAATTGCCCTGGCTATGATCAAAATTTCAATCCTCCCATCTCAGCCTCCCAGAGTGCTAGGATTGCAGACATGTGTTACCTTCCTCAGCACTTTTTTTTTTTTTTTTTTTTGTAGAGTAGGAGAGCGGTTGCAGTACAATGGTAGGTAACTACTATATTATCAGTCTTAATGAACATATTGATAATCAGGCTGAGGCAGGAGGGTCACAAGTTCAAAGTTAGCCAGTTAAACCACATAGTGAGATCCTATCTAAAAAAAAAAAAAATCTCATTTATGCAACAATATTCCTTTAAAATCAAAACAAGAATTTATGAGTAATACACGCTAGGCATTTTATATAAACATAATTCATTTAACCTTCACAACAACTGTGAAAAGAAATTGAGCCAGTGAAATGAAATGACCTGCCCAAGTACAGACTTCCTAAGTGGCAGCGGAACTTGGGTTCATGTCCAAGTTACACTGAGTCTAAAGTTTTTGCTTTTTTCATTACGTAATATTGTCTCTTAATCTGTTTAACCAACAGTCCACAAAAAGCTGAGTGTCTTATGCCAAGTCAAAGAATAATTACTTTCAGTGTAATAGAAGTCAAACCTCAGATAACATGTCATGGTTCTGCTAGATTAAGTCACCTCCAAATAACATACTATTTCAAAGGTAATTTAATCTGCTTCTGGCCTCCAAATGCACTGGTAATTAGAGTGAAGCCAATCTATTTGCCACTAGTTGAAGAAAATAAATATGACCAAATTTCAGCCTTAGATGTCTGAAACTAGAATTTTGATAAGAGAAAAAAATAAATCAAGAAACATTCTCCCTAAAATCCAGTCGTGCTTTAATATAAAAAGAACATTTCATTAGAAATGTCTCAAAGCCCTAACAAAAAGCCAATCCCTTCCTCTTAATTTTATTCCATAGAATTTAGAGAAACCATCACAGCACAAAAGTTGTGTATTTGCAATAGAGTAAATGAGTAAATTAGAAGCCTTTTAATCCTCATATTAAGTACATCATACAAAGTCATAGAATAAAAGTACATAAAATAGTTTATAAATCTATGACCCTCTTCCCCTTTTTTGAACCAAGCTGCTCCTAAAAGCAACCATCTTCCTTTTCCTTGCTTTTTTCCTTACCTGTTGCAGAGGTGACTGAGGGCTCCCTGAGGACTACAATGACACGGCAGGCAGAGCCCAGACGTGTGATTCAGGTGGAAGCCCTCCTTGCAGGCTTCGCAGCGCAGCCCTTGGTAGCCTTGCTGACACTCACACTGCCCTGTGGTCTGGTTGCAGAGCTTCACATCCAGGCTTCCAACCTGGGAGCAGTTACACACAGGCTCTGAAAGAGAAAGAGGGAAAGAGGCATCATCACCGAGGATTGAATGTCTTAACAAATGAACAATTTTCCTTTTCTTAATAATGTTTATCACAAACTTATTAGGCTATACACAACTAGTTCTAATTTACTGCCCATGCTGTTTATTTAAATCAAGAAATGTGTACAGTACACAATATTATGTACAGTTCATAATTATGAAGCTCACACTCTCAGCTTTTTTCTTACTGCTGTTCATCTCCTATCACTCTTACCCTACCTCCCAGTGTATGTAACTGCGTAATTGCTAGCTTCCCTGCATTGGAAGCTGACAGAGGCAAGCTCATCCCCAAGGCACAGACAGTACCTGCTGGAAATGATAGTGTATTGCGCAATCCCACTGCGCAGGAGTGAAGGCCTGAGCCTCAGAGGATGGATCAGGTAACCCACACAAGGTCATACAAGAATCACCAGAGGATACAAATGAAGGACCATTTTGTATTTGTATACTCAAAATAGTTAGGATAGATATACAGTTACTTTCCCTCAATTCAATGACTAGAAAGATTTGTTCTAATAGTGTTTGTGGACAGGATATCATGTCTGCATCTTGTACTATGAATAACCACTAAGAAGACAACAATATGCAATGTATTAATTATTGAAACTGTCCTACTAATCAGTTGTGAAACTGTCTCATTGCTATTTGTTTCTTAATGAAATTATTAAAAAAGAAAAAAAAAGAATCACCAGAGCTGGAATCACAAGCCAATATGTATATGAAGGAAAAAATTAGCAGGGAATTGAAACTTTCAAGTGAAGAAATGACAAACAGTAAATCCAGAGGACAGAAAATAGGTTCATCCTGATCAGTGATGTAAAAATCAATCATAATTTGAATTTTTTTCCAAATTATAAGATTAAGAAAATAGACAATCTTTAGGTATATTTTCAATAGTACTTCAGATGAAAATAATTGATAAGCCTTTATTCATAGCCTTTTAATATACACATTTATTTAAAGATCAGTCAGAATTTGGGTTTTGCTAACATTCTGCACATTTTATCAAAAAGAAAGTATTTCCAACAGTTTTACACAGCATTAGCATTGGGACTTTACAAGCATTTCCAAAAAGATGTAGTTAAAATCAATTTCAGTGAAAATAAAACTTTGCATGTACTCTAGCAATCAGCTTCATTCCAAAATAGTCATGAGGGGGGCCAGTGAGATAGCTCAGCAGACTAAAGCACCTGCTTAGGCAAGCTTAGGCAAGTGCAGGGACTGCAGTTCGATCCCCAGCAGCACATGCTGCACCAACCCCACCCCCAGGGCAGGCTGAGCCTGCTGGAGTCTAGGCCTGGTGGCCTATAATCAACACAAGTCCAAGCTGTGTAGTGAGACCCTCCAACAAACAAATACAGTTAAAAAAAAAAAAGCCATGAAATTAGGCTGAAAGAGCCCTGAAAAAAATCTACAGTATAAATTATACTTATGAATAGGCAAGGCACCATGCAAAATGACTATTCTGACAATAGCTCATTTAGCTTGGGAAAAAAATAAGTCTCTAATGTTAATTTTTATTATTTAAAAAAGATTACTAGATAACTGTAAATCCAGTCTTACATAGAAAATTATAAAGAGATTTGATTTTTTATTCTAGAAAAGGAAATTAAGTTTCAAAATTCTTATTGTAAGCGTAATTAGCATCCACAGTCATAACAAAGGATTCCTAAACTTAACATCCTAATCTTTTATGTTAGTTTATTTCTCTGTTTTTCAAGCTTCTTTTAGTTTATAAATATAACAAATGAATGAATACATGTTGGTAAATTGTTTATTTTATGCACATTTCAACCAGCTGGTGGTGAAGTACAGAACCCCAGGAAGAGTTCAGATTTATTCAGTCTCAAGTTTAGGAAAATCAGCTTCCCGTCACAATCAAGATTCTTATACAATATTTGGGGATGAATGTGCAGCTTTGTGGTACAGCCCTTGCAAAGCATGCACAATGCACTTTCTTTCTTTCTTTCTTTTTTTCTTTCTTTTCTACCGGGGATCAAACTCTTGAACTTGGGCTTGCCAAGCAGGCGTTTATGCCACTGAGCTATATCCCCAGCCATTCAGGGCATCATTCTTAACAAAGGAAAAAAATCCTATTTTTATTAGGGTATGCAAGTCTGACACTTCTTTGACACAGTTAGATACTTTCACATGATATTCTGCATACAGTAGGTGTGTGTGGTTGTGTATATAATAATCACTGTTGAAGTGGTTCCTTGCAGGACCTTTGCTGCATGAAAAAATTGCCAGAATGCTTAAAATAACATTTTTCTTCTAAAATTTGGCAGGCATTTAACACACATGCAACTCCTCCTGCAAGACTAATTTCATCACAAGTCAAGCTGACCAAATTATGGTGATGTGGAGAGAGCTATATTCAAAAAATGAAAAGATTAAGAGAATTCCTGATAATAAGGATCAGGAATTATTCTATTGTTCCATGACTAATGAAGTATTTATAATGAAAAACTGAATTAGTATTTCCAGTGAATGAAATACAATAGCAAATTATTTTAAAAGAATGCAATTAATCTAGAACTCTGAGAAAAACATTCATTTTTCTTAATTTAGTAAAGTTCTAATGGATAAGCCCTCAAAAGTAACCAAGATCACTGCGTAGTTATCATTTATACAGAGCAAAGCTAACCTTTCTGTTATCTCCTGAACCTAGCCATACAGTCTTATTTCTGAAGCTGCTCATTCTGTGTACTTAGAACTTTCTCCCTTCTTCATATATTCAAACCTATCCTCTATTTCAAGACTAAATGGAAACTCTCACCACACTACCATTAAGTCTATTACCTCTGCTGTGAAACAACAGCACCTACGATCTGCAACTCTCATATGAGAATAAGCGGAAGGGGAAGTCAAGCAGCTGTGAGCAGACTGTAGAGGCAGACAGCTTAGTTCAAGATCCCGTCCTCTCATTACATTTATAATCCTAGGCAAATTAGTTAACATCTTGTGCTTTCATTTTCTCACCAGCAAAGAGGACATAATAATACTTTAAAAATTTAGCCCTAACTGTGAGATTTGGAAGCACTGAAATAATTAGCATAATAGCTAGGAAACAAGTGAGAAGTGACACCAGATAGAATAACATAAATGTAAGTCAGATTTTAGATTCATTGACCACAATGTGTGGTCTATGAATCCTGTAGCCAAGACCTGAAAGCCTGTGGACATTGTCTGATAAACATAATTAGTGTTTTGTAATACAGAAATGCAAGCTGTGAGTCACTGTATAGAAAATTATATATATACATATGTGTATATATATACATACATATGTATAACATGTACACATATAGGGTGGAGATATATATGTATATATGTATATACATATATGTGTATATATGTGGTGGCTTCTATACATTGCTAGTATGTGTGCCAACAAACTACAATGATCAATCAGAATGATTTAGCATTTGGTTTCAGTGAGGTAAAATATGATTTATTGATTAAGTAATTTTGGTATTATTCATTCTAACAATAGCAGAGTACGTGACAAATATTTCAGCGAGGGAGACCACTGCAGTGGTAGAAAGACAAAGGTGCACTATCAAGTTATCACTTCTTGAAAAAGGAAGTTAATGAAAATGAGTGACAGTGCACAAGTGCCATAGAACATGTGCATCTTTTTGTTTATAGCTTAGGTAGAAGTGAAAGGTACATCTCAAGGATTGATCTCAAATGAACTGATCCAAGTTAAGTAGAATAGGATGCTGCAATGAATGTAAAACATCATGAGCATTCATTAAATTATACCAAAATTATTTGTTATCTTATAAGTAAAATCTCGAACCCTGCCCAGCTCTAGGTGTTCATTCAGAACCAGATAAAAGGCAAAGCAGAAATAATGTGATACTCTTAGTAAAAGGTTAGCAATATCAAAAGAGAAATGGAAATTTCTGGCTGATTCCTGCCCTAGTCATAGCAAAGCTGTAGAAGTCTGCAGAGCAGGCTTTCTCTCACTTGTGATATGTATGACCTGTATCCTGAAGCATATTGTTTAATTGTGTGCATATTTCATGCTTGACACTTTCCATTTACTGATCAACAGAGCATCCTGTTTGAGTTTAACAAAATAAATACTGTGTCTTTGAGGAAAAAAAATGAAAATTTCAATTGGTAGAAGCAAGTGGAAGGATCTATATATAATAATGAGAGTGAAAGTGCTGACTTTTAATGAAGTAAAATCTTAGACATTAGAGCAGAACAAAGGAGTCTGCGACATGATAAATGCGAGTCAACAGTTCACGTGTTAATAGGAATGAAACAATATGAAGAGGACACCAAAAGCCAATCACAGACAGTGTGAAAGAAGCAAAAAGCTCATTTAGTTGTCTACGTGTAAATGCAAAATAAATTCCTCATAAAGTGAGTAACACATTCCCTGTCAAAGACTTGTAATTCCTGGGAAACCTCTACGAAGAAATGATATAAGTGTTCATGAGAGAACACAATCTTCAGGCATGTTTTTCCTTTCTGTCGTCTGGTTTCAAAAGAACAATAAAATACAGCGCTTGCACACTGAGGAAGATTAAGAAATAAATCTGGTTCCAAACTGCTTTAAGATTTCAAAATAAAATATAAAAACCTAAGGGCTGGGGGAGTCGAGTCATGAATGCAGTGCTTCCTCACAGTGGACAAGGCCTTGGGTTTGAGCGCCAGCAGACAAAAAAAGAAAGAAATATAAAGATACAGAAAAAGATAACAGTTCCCTTGTGAACACGAATTTATGAGGTTTTGATACGAAAGTATCCAAAGAAATCATTACATCTAAATCAAACAGTACACTTTCCAAACATTCTTTACCAAGAGCCAACAGATGAAAAGTTTTTGGCACTTAAAAAAAAGGTAAGTTTGCTTATGCCCATATGCTTCCTCTTCGTACTAAAACACTTGTCTTGGTAAGAGAATACAGTTTCCACTCAAATACATTATGAACCTTTTCCGGACC